TTTATGATTTGACCTTCAAATGACCTCTAAATGACCTTTAGATGTCAACATTGAGTCAAAATGACCTTGAATTTGAATTCAGCGACTCTCAAAACATAAAAAAATATATTTTTCGGATTTTTATATCGCATTTTCTAAGTTTGACCTTCAAATGACCTTGAAGGTAAGGTCGTAGAGGTCATCTGACTTCAGATTTGAATTCAGCATCCTCAAAAACCTATGTAGGAATAGTTTCAGATTTTAAAACCTATTTTACATGATTTGACCTTCGAATGACCTTCAAATGACCTTAAATCGATCTGATGGCGAAAAACCGACGACGGATTCGGATTCAGCGACCCCAAAAACATAAAGTCTACTGGGTCCGGTCTCTGGGACTGAGCATTTTTTTTTTTTTTTTGTGCCTGTGTAATTAGCAGCTTAAGTCACGGCAAAGCGTGCCTTACACGTGAACTTTAGCCACGCAGTGCTATAAAAAATTTTATGCAATAGAATGGGAAAAGTGCATAAATAACAAGCATCATATCTCTCAAAATATCAGAAATTTTACCGTACATCACTATTTTTGGCTCCAGGTCAGAACTGAACTTTGCGATTACTTTCTTCGGGTGCTCGCAATCATCAAAAAATCACGACTACCCGAAGAAAGTCATTGCCGAGTCCTGATCCTAACCAAGTAATCATCTAGAGTAAGAGCGAAAGCAAGATTTTAAAATTGTGATTATATTGTACAACTACATTTTTTATTATGTTACTATAAATATAAGATATTAAAAGAACTTGAAAAAAATGCATATATGCACTTCTTATTAATATAACTGCTTCAAATTGTATAATCAATGAATAGCTCAAGTGGTAGGGAGCTGAACTTAGTAACCGACAGATCACCGGTTTAAGCCCAGGTCTCGGGGAACTTTTTCATTTCTTTAAAGTTTATAAGTAAATAAGTCTTATATAAATCTAAAAAATAATCTAAATTATTAAGTAAATAATTACGAAAATAACTGACAAGTTTTAATAAAAAAAAATCACCTGACGATTTTTTTCCACTCAAAATCCACGAGGATTTCACCACAAAAAAACGTCGTGGATAATCGAATATCCATGAGGATTTCCGTATATCCACAAGGGTTTTTGCGGAAAGCCGCGGGGATTAATAAAAAATCAACGAGGATTTCCGCGGAATCTTGACGATTTTTGTGAATTGTTTCTTGGTGTCTAAACAAATGCGGTTTTTGTCCGAATGTCTTCTCACACTTATTACATGCGAAATCTTTTCGACCTTCATGGACTATTTTTTGGTGTTTTATCAAATTGCTTTGAGTCCAAAATTTTTTTGTGCTTATTGTGCATGCGTAATCCTTTCGACTTTCATGGACTGCTTTTTTCCGCGGAAATCCTCGTGGGTTCATCAAAAATCAACGAGGATTTTCGCGGAAAGCCGCGTGGTTTCATCGAAAATCAACGCGGATATCTCATAAATCCTCGAGGCTTACGTACGTGGACTCTTTAAATGATTCATGTTCCTTCCACGTGGAATCAATGTCCGATCTTCGAGGAATCCCTGTATGATCCACGTGGACATCCACTCATTTTTTTTCAACTGGGCATTCTGAGCAAAAATATGTGCAGAGTAATGTATTCATATTTCAAAACGATAAAATTAATGGTTTTTCTTTAATCGTGTTAACCAACTGGAAAAATCTTGTTTCGAGAAAACAGTTGCAGCAGACAACACAAAACCGCTTATAGTATATTTTGTAACAAGTGCGCGAAGCAGTTGACTCATCCAGAAGTTGTTGTTGCAAAGACTCCTGGGTGAGTCAAATTCCTCGCGGACTAGTTGCAACCGATATTTTTTAACCCTGCTTGCAAGGAACTAGGGTTTTCTGACGATTAAGGTTAGAAAACCACACACGCACGCAGTGTTAAAAAAAACTTTTTAAAAAAAAAAGGGCACCTCGTATCCGGCCTTTGGCACTTTTTTATTAACCTCTTCTCAGACTCTGACTGCTGGCTTTTGGTCTTCTAAAGATTAAATTTTCCAAAAGTAGTATTTTATTCTTCCAAAATATGCTTTTAATTCTGGCCTATTCTCTTGATCGAACATTATCTTTAGAAATAGTTAAAGAAAAGGTTGAATAGGGAGTTGAAGTAATGACTTGGAAAATTTATGTGAAATACTTAAAATTAATAGCTCGTATTTATGTCTCTATTTTTCTGAATAACTTATACGACTTATAAAAGACTTTTTTATACGGATCCGCGTTTAACAAATGAGAAGTGTTTATTATGAAGAAAAAGTTATAATTTAGCGAAAATCCTATAACAATAAATAATAAATTTTTCTTAAAATGTAATAAATATTTTTAGATGACACATGATTTTCGTAGTGCAAAATTTTGCGTGTGCAGATGACAAACAATTTTATTTCAACATCTAAGTTGCAATGACTAGCGAAGATCTGTTGCAGCCAGGTCATGTTGTTAAAGAACGCTGGAAAGTGGTATGTAGATTCATTCTATTTCATTCATTTTATTTATATTTTATAATATAATAGGTAAATAATTTATCATAGTGTTAAAATTAATTTAATAGTATGAAATATTAAAAATTCAATCATCATATGTAAAATCGTTTCTATGAGATCAAAAAACTTGAAATATTTAGAGAGTTTTCAGGATCTCATTACCAATGAATGTTCAACCCGATACTTTCACATTTTATTATTACCCGGTTTCATACTTACAAACTGCATTGTAGTTTATGAGACGATTGTACTCTCAGCACATCCTCTTTTATTAGCTTAAGGAGATATAGAAGCCAGCCAAAAATATCAAAATTTCAATCCTGTTTTCTGAAACTTCTACTGAATATTTCTCGATAAGGCTCTATGGCGACCTTTATTTTGATGTTTTTAAGGTCGCCATAGAGCCATTAGGCAAATTTTTCAATAGAAATTTCAAAAAACTGGATTGAAATTTTAGCTAGCTTTTATATTCCCTTAAGGATGTTCCCTCAGACCTGCCCGACAAATTTGGGCATATGTCTAAAAAAAATCTGAAAAATTCATACGCTTTCCTTGACAAATTCTAAGACTTTTTTGTTCTTTTAAAATTTTTCGTAGAGTTCATGCTTATTGAGATAAAAAATCGCAAAGATTGTTAGCTTGAAATTGTTTAAATTTGAATCATTTATAGCTTGTGAACAATAGATTTTAGAGAAAATTTGCAAGAGCACTTTTTTGTTTAAAATGACCCTAAAAACCTTAAAAATTGGGTTTCAGGTCAAAAAGTTTAAATTTTTATTTTTGCAATGTTTTTACATTAACTTTTCTCAAAAACTGTTTGGTCAAGTTTTTCCAGTTTTTGAAGTAGGTTTCAGTAAATACTGAACAATCATCTCCTAGTTTTTGAAAAGATTTTATCGATGCGTTTTTTTATAAATCACACAAAATAACGTCTTTTCGACACGTTAGCATAGGGATCCCATGTTAAAGTACCGAACTTTGATTAATTATATTTCGGAAATGGTTTGGTTAAATTTCCTGAAATTTCTCACACATATGAAAAGCACTGTCAATAATATGTGGTTAAAATTTCAAAACCCTTTATCGATAGTCATTTTTTTGAGGGAACTACCTAAAGTAGAAGAATTATAATTATTATAATTAATTTATCAATGTTAAAGGTTTAGTTAATTTATATTAGTGGTCATTTATAAAAACTGTTACATACGCCAATAGCGGCGTTGTCGCAGACCAAATGTGTAATAATTGTTATTACTATTTTACTACCTGTGTTGCTGAGGGGAGAAAGGGAAATGAAATATTATAAATATATGATGGTAAACTTACAATTTATTTATTGACACTCGTTGGTGTTGCGATCGCTATCGCTTTGTAGAGGGCTCGCAGTCACTCTCAGTCACTCACACAAGTGCACTCGATTTGACTTACAAGGAGAGCTTTTCAGGTTTGGGTCATGGATTTGCTCCAAAATTTTGTGTCTCCTGGTACCCAATACTGAAGCTCCCTGTGCTTAGTTTGATCCAATGGGCCTTAGGGCCCATTTGGTAGAGGATTTTCCACATTAAGAAAATCTTTGTTATTTTCTATATCGAAATAGAAGTACTTAAACGAAAAAATGGGACGATCAAAAATTTTAAAATTTTTCAAAGAATCTGCTTGAATTTTTTCAAAATTTTTGGGACCATCTACCACTCTCTTAACGAAGTCCTAAAATATACTAAAAAAAGCGTCAAATTTGGGCCTCTTGAATTAAGTGATAGATGGTCCCAAAAATTCTGAAAAAATTCAAGCAGATTCTTTGAAAAATTTTAAAACTTTTGATTGTCCCATTTTTTCGTTTAAGTACTTCTATTTCGATATAGAAAATAATAAAAATTTTTTCATAATGTGGAAAATCCTCTACAAAATAGGCCCTTAGGCCCATTGGATCAAACTAAGCACAGGGTGCTTCAGTATTGGGTACCAAGAGACCGCAAAAAAATTTTGGAGCAAATCCATGACCCAAACCTGAAAAGCTCCCCTTGTTAGTATGATAGTGTACTAACGCTTGCTCACGCACAGCAAGTTACAATGAAGTTACAGTATAGTCGTGCGAATACTACAAGTATTCATCTTTACAAGATTTGAATTGTTATATCGATATCGCGTACAAGTCAAGAGTTATGTGCTTTATTAAAATCATCGTACCACAGAGAGGGCTCCTCTCATTTTCGAGCCTTTTTATACCCCTTGGTCTTCTATCCCACCTTTGAGGCTGTTTTGCAACAACTCCGAGGGGGCGGCTTGACTGTTGGAAATAGATGACTATTTACCTTGATCTGCCTTCACCATGTTCTGTGCACGTGATGGAGGACTAGTTCTTTTTACGACTTTTCCTCGAGAATCTTATGCAACATACTCTTTATTCGCGCTTCCACGCGATCGTTGGCCTTCCCAGGGTTTTACCGATCCTCGCATAATAAATATCTACATATCAAGTGGCTAGAGTTTTATGGTGCACCCGCGCATCTGTCGATCGACACAGTGACGACCTCTGCGCGTTCTTGCGAGCCGTGCTCGCTCAATTCTTTGTGATGATCTTAACTGCTTTGAAATTGACTTATTGAAAAATATGTATAGTAAAGGACTATATGGGAGGATCTAACAAAACATAGTATGTATTCAGGGAAAATTTACACAATATTTTAAAGATATCTATGATTAATTAGAGTTTCGTACACGAAAGTGACAAATGTCGTGTACGAATTTTCAAATGCCAAACCTTTATATAAATTTTTTTATTAGGAAGCCATTTCCCAATATATTAGCAGCGGTTATTTAACCATATTAGCCTTTAAATAAAATCGACATGAAACTTAATCACTTATTATTTTCCTGGTAATAATTTAATGTACAATCGAAACTATCGTAATGCTTCAATGTCTACTTTAGGTAATAATGATAAATGCAAACCATTATATACGAATCATATTGCGACGGAAGAAATTGGAAGAGTGACAATTTATTTAAAAAAATACGATTTTGAATCTTGAAAAAAACTGACTCAAATTATTTTTTATGAAAGAGACTCGAACTATGGCCTTTAACATCTATAAGTGTAGAATAACAACCTTAAATTTTAAATTTCGTGAGTGGAATTTGAAGATTCAAGAACGTTTTTTTCTAAAGTTAATCGCTTATGAGTAAACATTATCAAATTTTTTTAAAATTTTTTTTTCGAAAAGTGTATTTTTATGTGTCCTCCATCTTGAATCTTTACATTCCACCTACAATACTTAAAACTAAACCTGTTTACGGTATTGTAACTTCAAGTATATCAGTCCACCGGAATCTTCAGTGTAGGCTTCGAGACTACGAATTGTTATACTCTGAAGAATTTCAAGGATTCCAACATGCAAGATATGATAAGGGCTTTGCAGCAGTCATAGCCTAATTTAACATCAGCCTTTTGTGCTTCCGTATTTTTGTACTTTTTATTTATATGAATTTTTCAAAAACATGTATTTGATCCATGTTTTTATCGAACCCGAAAATATCTCATGGTTGCCCAGAATGTACACTATAAGGCGATTGAACAAACGTAAACACAGTGAATTCGGGGCCTCGGACAATGCTAGTCTGCATACTATTGTTATTATTGACGCCTATGTTATACACACAGGCAGTCCGACTTCGCTGTGTTAACGTTTGGAGGTTGTTTCAAATTCAATCGCCTGATAGAGTACTGATATGACCCAAAGACCCGAGAAAAGTTAATTTTAACAAATAAGTTGCTTTTTACGAGTTTGATGAGTATACTGAAACTTTATCATACTAAATTAAACTTATCTAAATTAAACGTCATTGATCAAGTACTAACATTTCTTTTTTGTGAACAATGAAGCTATTAATTCAAGTTTCCATGTAGATTTATTACCTTATTTACGCTGAAAATTGAAAAATTGTTAAAAATGCGTTCTTTTTATTAAAAATGATTAAACTTGTATTTCTCAAACCTTGTTACTATTTATGTTATCATAATTCATATAAATCAATTATTTATCCAGATGAGGAAAATTGGTGGTGGAGGTTTCGGAGAAATATATGAAGGTCTAGACCTTATAACAAAAGAACAAGTTGCTTTGAAGGTTGAATCTGCACGTCAACCTAAACAAGTTTTGAAAATGGAAGTGGCTGTTTTAAAGAAACTCCAAGGTAAAATTATTTATTTCAACATAATTTATTATTTTCACTATATTTATCAAGCTTCAGGATCACCCGTTTAATTAATTCTCTTTTGATTCATGTTCGATTGTAAAAATTAAAGTAAAAAAAAAGTAAATTCTTCATATCTAGAATATTTATTTAAATTTAATCTAGAAATAACTTCGGAAATTATTTTTTAATACTTAAGGTTTAAAAAAATAATTATTATTGATTTCAAAAATTAAAGTTAACTATAAATTGTCAATTATAAAACTTACTTTAGTTTATGCTTCAATAAAAAGCAGTGAAGTAATGGATATTTTTTCCATTTAAACAGGTAAAGAACACGTTTGTAGATTTATAGGTTGTGGGCGCAACGATAGATTCAATTACGTTGTTATGCAATTACAAGGAAAAAACTTGGCTGAATTACGTCGTGCGCAACCTAGAGGAGCCTTTTCATTGTCAACAACTCTTCGTCTGGGACTTCAAATCTTAAAAGCAATTGAAAGCATTCATCATGTTGGTTTTCTTCATCGAGATATAAAACCGGTAAAAACACAGCATTATTTAAATTTTTATAAACTTGCATGAATAATATATTATTCTTAAGCTCATTTAAATCGGTAATATTTTATAATACGGATCAATAACGTGATAAATAGTTTCCATAGGAAGTCTATTTCAATCAGAGTTTATAAAGATCATATTAATAATAAAATATTAGTTTTTTTAAAGCTTGATAAGTTTTCTCTGACCCCCCACTTTTTAGAATAATAATTGCAATTGGATAAAAAAATAACTCAACAGCTCAGCGCGTTTCTCACCTGCTTTAACATAATAATCGATCACAAATAAATCTCCTGCATCCAATTAGATATTTCAGGAATGAGGTATAGCTCTAATTTGTCAACTTTTGCAGACTATTTGAATCACAATAGATCGAACTGGTTTCACATTTTACTACTTCACGATAACATGGCTAGTGAATTGTCTGTTGTATTATGTAGGGAACTCCGTCAATCAAATTTGAATTGATTTATAGCTATCTCTACCTACCTCCGCGAATTCACATTTTCAACACTTTTCCCTTAAAGAAATCAACAATATTTTTCATGACCCCATCCATTGCCGGGTGATATTGTGGTGGGATTCTTAATCTTATTCTACTTCGATTCAAATTAGTAATCTTAGGTCATTTTGAAAAAGAGTCATTTTAATAAAAGATATTTCTTCTACGATAAGGACTTAGAAAATTGCAACGAAAAGATCTTTTTGAGCATTGTCAAGGTCAAGGCAAAGTCCTTGGTCGTCTCTTTCAATTGACTACAAACGCGTTGCGTTGGTTCGCCATTTCTCCGATATCCGCGTCGAAACCAGACCACGGTTTAGTGCCGTCTTTTTCACTGTGTCCAAATGTTCTAGATAGATATTGTCCAGAACATTTTACTATGATTTTTTTATAAAAGACTATTTGGTAGCTCCAAAATCCTCCTAGCTCCCATCTGCAGGATAACGTTTTGAAAGACCTGCAAACAGTTAGGAGTTTGCAATACTACAATCTGACCCGATCACATCGCTCGTTACATCGTCATTGAGTCGGCTGATCTGGCTCAGATGGGTGTAGATTCCTTCTTGTACCTACATCAAACATCAGTCAAAGATTTTTTTCTGGGTAACCGCATCAGCCTTGTAGCCTAGATATCGGGGCCACACACTCACCACTTATGTGTAGAAGTGTATTGCCACACCAATACCTGCCTACTTTTTTTTCCTTCGAGTACAGATTGAGTCTCTTGATGTAGTAGATAGTTAGTGGTGTTTTTACATTGAATAGTTTAGCGGTGAGGAGAAAGAGTAGGGGAGAGCGGGGTGTGTTGGCATGTGAGGTAAGTTGGCAAAATGGAATATTTTTCTCCTTATCAGTGACTTGAACCGAGATGGTGCCAATACATACAAATACTACCTATTATGGTGTTTGCACTACTGATAGTATTATATCTATACAAGTTAGTGATATTAAGAAATATGAATTTTTGCCAACTTACCTCAAATGCCAACACACCCCATTCTACCCTAAATGAAATATTGTCAGGTATTACAGTTCAAAGTATGATTGCGAGCTTCATGGTATGAGTTCAAAAAGGATGGTCTTACGCATAAAAACAGTAAAATTACGGACAACTGACGGAGCGAAATTCATTTGGTGGGATATAGAATGAGCCATTCTGAGAAAAAAATTAATTTCTTTAGGCCGCAATGTACGGAAACAGAACTTAAGGGGGGAAAGGCACCTAAAATATAAAAAAAAAAAAATTTTTTTTCATTGACTTTTTTGATAGGATTTTTCCTCGGCTTTCCAGTGCCGTGATCGGAATTTTAAAATGTTAACTGTACCGTGATGTACAGGTTATTTAGTACCGATACTTTTACGATTATTTAGAAAAAATGAATGAAACGACTCAAAGATATATCGTGGCCAATCTGTCATGAATCTCGAGACTTTCATAAGTCCGTAGCGCCATCTATTGATACTCGTTTTATTCTTTGGTTAGAGTACATCCAGCAGAAATTTGTTTGTTTACACGGCTATAGGTGTACAGTAACGCCACCACTCGCAGCACGTGGGTTTCGGCATATCGTCTGTCTCTCTCTGTTTCGTGCACGAGCCCTGATCAAATGTCAACAACAGTCTGCTGAGTGCTGACTGCTTCTTGATTTTCCAATGGCTAAAAATTACATTTTTTCAAAGTGAAAAAAGTATATGTAGAGTGCAATTATATCTTTGCAACTCAACATAGTGTTTCATAATAAAGCTATGAAGAAATTTCAATAGCTTGTTATAAAAATGTGACATTTTTAGCAGTTCTAAATCAAGAAATACAGAAGTACATATGTAAATTGACATATATACCCCAATGTATATGTATGACACTGTATTTTATGTATGTGTATATGACTGTGTTATATATATTATTGTATGTTGCATGTGATGAACAAGATTAGTGATAATTGATCAACTTGTAGTGATTTATTTCCAAGTATCTGAACATTGTCCTTGTGGGTCCAATATGTTGAAAATTCAATTTGAATTACTGTTCTTTATCGTCCAAAAAGTTTTAAGCAGCCTCAGTGACATGAGAGTATCATTATGACATATATTGATGTATTTTGGTTTTTTTCAACTCTTGGGCAGTTACGTTTTATCTCAAAATTGCTTGCATGCCGTAACTTTTAATGAGAACCGTTTGAGCAATTGAGCTGAAACTTTCAGGGGTTGTTTTACATGTGAATGGCTACAAACGCAACTCCTTTCAAAGGTATTGGACAAAATTTGCACTTTTTTCAGGCTACATCCCTAGCATAATTGTATTTTATTATATAGTATTAATGAATAAATGTGCATATGTGGCTGGAAAATTGTGCATAACTAATTAAAAAATCTGAAAGTGCTTGCGTTTGTAACCACACATCTAATGATCAAAATGAGACCCCAAGGACTATGATTGAACCATCGGTTCTAGCTGGATCCTACGGCACAGGGGTACCTGTCAGGACTGTGGGCTTGCTTCATCGAGGAGAGTTCTATGGTGACTGTATTCCAAAAAAAAATTTTTTCTTCATAATTAATAAATTTTTCATAAATGTAGGTTTAAGGTACCTTTCCCCCTTAATATCTTCACCTGATTTGAAGAGGGTTTGAGAATTGTTAATCGAGAGCTTGTAAGAATGAGATTTGAAGTGATCGCGAGTATTTGGTGATGCACATTTAAACACCAGTGATCGAGTTATGTTTACTATTGCTGCTAAGGTTTTGGATTTTTGGGTGTCTAGTTTCTTATTTCAGAAATAAAACGAGTATAATTTTTAAAGTCTATGGCCGAGAATGTTTTATCAAGTATCTCTTTGACAGAAAGATTGAAAACTAATGGCATACCCAACAACAACACCATGCAGCTGTTCATCAAATGGTCAGTTGACTGCGCAGCGAGTTAGACGTGCTTGTGTGAGGCTTCAAGCAGTTTAGCAGTAGAGCTCTTAAAAACTTCAACCTCAGTCCGTATGCTGATTATGTCTGCGGCATTCTTCGCTGATCTGCGTTCATGAGGCTTTAGGCGTGTAGTCATCTCCATTATAGCTACTGCTATGTATTTCTGTAGCGAGTACCAGATACCAGAGCTAAGATTGGCTTGGTTAATTTTGAACCTGGATCGGTAGGAGTTTTGAGGGGGTTAGCATCTTCCATTCGAAACCTCTGTAACAGTTTATTGATGTAGAGTTCCTGTTTTACAAAAATACTGCCCTTGTTACGCATTATTTCCATACCTACAAAGTAGTTCAGATCACTAGTAACTATAGGGAACTTATCTTCAAGCGCTTTTACAACTTTTGTCAATATATTGACGTTCTTAGAGAAAACAATTCCGTCGTCGACGTACAACGCGAGATAAACTTTATTATTGTCTAAGACGCCTGTGTAGACGCACTTGTCGGCGTTGCTGCGAGTAAATCCCAAATTCAAAACAAAGTCGTTGAACTTTTGGTTCCAGCAGCGTCCGGACTGCTTTAGGCCGTACAATGCCTTGTTCAGTTTTAAAGCTGAATTGGGTTTTACTGGAGCAAGTCCGTCTGGAATTTTCATATAAATTGTTTCTTCCAGTTCGCTATTTAAATAGGCGGAACTTACATCGAATTGCGTGCATTTGAGGTCGTCGTGGACCGCTATCGCAAGAAGTACGCGTATGGACTCGTATCTTACTACCGGTGAGAAGGTCTCTTGCTAGTCGATCCCAGCTTCTTGCGTGAAGCCCTGTGCGCAAAGACGAGCTTTGTAGCGGGGAGGTTTGTCGCCGCTCTGGTTTTTTATTTTAAAAACCCATTTGTAGCCTACCAAGGTTCGATCGGGCGGCTCGTTCACAATATCCCATGTGTTATTATTTTCAAGCGCGCGCATCTCCTCATCGATCGCGTGTTTCCAGAGTTCGGCATCTGCACAAGTGAGAGCTTCTCGGTAGTTTTTCGGCTCATGATAAACTGTGACATTTGCCTGATATCGCTCTGGCGCGCGCATAATGTCTCGCGGATGTAAATTGCGGGCAGGCGAATCGGCGGCCTCCTGTGCTTCGTTTGCCAGAGACGGCAGATCTCGCATTAAAGCTCCATCGCGCGCGTCAACAAAGTCTTCGAGGTCGGATTCATGTTTTGACTCTTCACGTGGCTCGATATTCTCGGGTTCATGTAGGTCGTCGTTTCGTGTATCGTCGTTACCGAACGAAATATCTATTGTTGACGTTTCTGTACAGCCGCGCGATTGCTCGTGGAATTTAACGTTTCTTGACACTACAACACGCCTGGTTTCCGAGTCAAATAAGCGATAATTTTTGGAGTCTTTTTCGTAACCGACAAAAATTAGTTTTTTGGATTTTTTATCCCATTTCTTTCGGAAAATGTCTGGGATGTGTGCGAATGCATCGCAACCGAAAATTCGACATTTCGATTTGTGTACTCGGTACCGTTATCTGCGCGAAGAACCTTGGCATGACTTCCAAATT